TTAGAATTGAGAAGGGGCATTTTGTATACCTCAATGCCTTGTCATATCCATAGTGGGCTCTCACGAAATATTTAGTGCATTGAATCAAATACCTAGAAACTAGGAGCATCACCTGCTTATTAGGGACGCCATGAATGCTGCACAAATACCCACCATATATTTAGGGGAAAAAAATCAACTTTCATAGCCCTGGTCAGGGTCTTACCATGTTAATACATGCTTAGATTTGCTAGGATGGAGTAAACTGCAATATTAATACCCACAAATCCCCATTCTTTTCCTTCTGGCTACGTTAATAATTATAATTTATGAACCCAAGTTAGATAACTATCATACCTACTTTAAGTCCAATGTAACAAACTATTTTTGACACATTATCAGTAATGATCTAGGGTTGTGCTATTCAACAAAGTAGCCACTAGCAATATGTGGCTAGTAAACATTTTATATATGGCTGGTCTGAATGAGATGGGCTGTTAGAGTCACACACACACTGTATTTCAAAGACTTAATATGAAAAGAATAATGTAAAATACATAATTAAGTGGTTTTTGTTTTTAACTTTGATTACCTGTTGCAATGACAATACTTTAGACCTACTGGGTTAAATAAAATATACTTAAATTAATTTCACCTTTTTTTTTTACTTTATGTGGCCTACTAGAAAGTTTAACTGTACATACATGGCTCACATTATGTATTAGACAACACTGATCTAGATCTCTGAAAAGGAAGTTATAGTCAGTTTAAACATATTCAGCAACACTAATGATAATATTCCATTTAAAATCTATTACACTCACCTTCTGAATTTTGTACTTTTTCATGTAAGGTATAAATTGAAACAAAAATCCAGGTAAACAGAACAGGAAATAAAGAGCCTCATGAATTATAAGGGTCCCCCATATTGCGATCTGGAACTTTGTATAATTATTCAATATGTAGTTCCAAGCATTTTTAAATGGTTCTTGCAGAGGATTCTCAGGTAAAAGAGAGTCTACATACTCCACAGCCAAGGATGCTGAACTAAAGATGTCGACACTTTCATTTGTTGCCATTTTTCAAATCTCTGCAGACAGCCTTACAATTCTCTAAAAAATAAATAAGTAAATAAGTAAATAAAGTAGAAATGAAATTCTAACAGCTAAAAAAAATGTAGCTTCTGGTAACTGTAAAAATAACCATTACTAAAGGAGTACCAATTTCTCAGATCCCAAATATGATTAAAACAAAAAATTCTACATGTCATCATCACCTCCATTTCTAGATATTGATTTAAAAGCCACATATTACTTTTAAAAGCCTCATCTGAAAGAGCAACAGTAGATAATGAATTTTGAATTATCTTTAAAGAGACTTTAAGTGTGGTCTCCATGGAAAAACTTCTAATTTCAATAAACAAGTATTGCATTTAAAAGTGTCAATTAAAACCACAAGAACCTATAAAGAAAAAGCCTACCAAATTTCACCATATAAGAATTAAATACTGCTACCTGGGGCGGGGGGGGGAATAAAAAGACAGCCATAAACAAAATCAAAGATGAAATGACAAACTAGAAAAATACATCAAAAAACTTACGACAAAAGGCTACAAAATGTGCTTTAGAAAAAAAGGATGAAAAATGCAATAAAAAATGTCAAAGGTCATTCACAGGCACTTCACAGAAAAATAAATACAAATGGTCACTAAACAAGTAAGAAACTCAACTTTACTAAACGAGGAAATGCATCCTAAAGCAGGATTTTTTTTTTTTTTTAAGAGCAAATCTTTAGAAGTTCAGCTGTTCCGGAGGCAGGGCCAAGATGGCAGAGTAGTCAGACACTTCCAGTGGACCCTCTTACATCAAAGACCCGAAAAAACAAGTGATTCAATTATATATGGCAATCTGGGAGCCCTGAGCATCGAAGGCAGAGTTGAGGAACTGGATTGAGTGGCAGGGGGAGGGAGAGATGGTTCGGAAGCAGCAAGGAGTTGCCAGACCTCACCCAGCGAGAGCCTGAGCCCTTCAAACCTGAGAAGCTCGTGGGTGATCGGTGATGCAGGCAAGCGGCGGTGTTCAGGAGGCGTGTTTTCCGCACCAGGAAAGACCCGGTGCCAGAGAGTCCACATGGCCTCCAGAACCAGTGAGAAGCAGCCCTCATTGGCGAAAGATAAGTAATTGTGTACGGCTTACCACATGGGTCAAAAACATCCCCCTTATGGAAAAACCTTTCTCCCATTTACTTCCCCACTCCTCGCTCTGCACTGGGTCCTGGACCAGCTTCAGCAATTGCCGAGTCCCCTGGACTGGAAGTAGGATCCGTCACACACCCAGAGCCATCCTCCCTGCCTTGGAGAGTGAACAAATTAACAAACGGGAAAAAAATAGACTGCTGGCTCCCCTAAGCCAGGAACCCAGGGTAGGCACAGCTCCTTTGCCTAGGCACAGGCATAAGGGATCCACGGACCTTGAGTGCCTTTCCGCCTGCATAGATTTGTGTGGGCCCATCTCAACAGCACAGGCCCTCTTTACCACAGTATAACAGGGTATATACTGGAACTCTAACTTCAGCTGTTTCAGCAGTGAAGTGGCAGGTTCTTGACATTTGACACAGCTCTGCACATTAAGCAGGGTCTTCACCTACCCACATCAGAGGCCTGAGGACTAGTGGCTCCACCCACACCACCTAGCCACCTGCAATAAAGGCCCATGAATAAGAGGTGACCCCCAGTCCATACAGTCAACAGCATTAGGTGTTCATCGTCTGGCTACAAAACCCACCCACCGTCATGCTCTAGGGAACAGGAACATGCCTTCCTCCTGGACACTAGGGGGTGGCCGTCAGCCCCCTGCCTTGCTCAGAGTATGTCCCCCTGCTGCAGCCAGATGCCTGTGCCTACACCAATCACCCGTGCCTGTCTAGGACTGTAGGTGAGAGCCTACACCACACACTTGTTGGCTATCTACCTGGGTGCCTGAGCTGAATCCATACAGGAGGAGTGGGCAGACTCCTGAGCTCACGTACCTAGTAACGTATCTAACCACCTGGTGACACGACATTGAAGTTTCAAAGGTGCCAATAATCAAACTAGCTCATATAAGCAGCCTATCTGAGCATATTGAAACAAAACAAGAAGCTAGGACACAGTAAGCAAACATAAATAAATATAATAACTTATTGATGGCTCGGAGACAACAGTCAATATCAAATCACATAAAGAGGCA